TCCTACGAACTTCTTCCTTTCCTCCTTCTCCATTCCAGGAAAAACCACCCAGGCCCCTTCAGCTAGCTCCCCCATCACAGACCCAGCCTCCCTTCCTACCACACACCTGGCTGCTCTGGCTCCTCTGTTCTCTCTCGGGTCCGTGCCTCTCCCCTCCCCTGGTCTCCTGGTTGCCCAACACATCTTTCAAGGACCATGCTGCTCCCATCCTGTCTTCTTGCCAGGGGTCCCCTCCTTAAGAGAGTCCTCTGTGATGCCCCTAAGTTTCCCATAAGCACCTTACCATCAATCTTTTTCTCTGGCTACATTTGAGCTTCCTGGTTCAGGGAGTAAGTAGTAGACAGGGAATATCCTCCTTCCCGGCTCCTTCTGTAATGAGATGCTGTTTTAAGAGTTGGGCTGGGGGCTGGGGGACAGGGCGTGGGGTGGGGCTAGAAGGATGCATCGGTGATTAAGAGCATTTGTTGTCCTTCTAGCGCAGTGGTTCTCAGCCTCTGGGTCTCAACCTCTTTGGCAAACTTCTGTCTCCAAATTGTTTGCATTCTGACTTATAACCAGCAAAATTACAGTTATGAAGTAGAAATGAAAATAAGTTTACGGTTGGGGGTCACCACAGCGTGAGGAACTATATTAAGGGTTGTAGTATCACTAAGATTGAGAACCACTGTCTTAAAGGATCGGTTTAGTTCCCAGCATCCATACAGTGTCTCCTAATGGTCTGTAATGGCCTCTATCGACACTAAGCCCACACATGCGCAACAATTACACATGCAAAACACCCACACATATGAAATAATAATAAATACTTAAAAAAAAAAAGATCTGGGTCCAGGATACAAAGTGTTTCAATTCAGTAGGTAGAGTGCAGGTCTAACACGTATAAGCCTCCAGTTCAGTCCCCACGACTGAATAAAATCTCTAATGGTGGTTGGGTGTGGTGGTACACGCATTTAATTCCAGCACTTCAGACACAGAGGCAAGTAGACCTCTGGGAGTTTGAGGCCAGCCTCATCTACGTAGTGAGTTCCAGGTCAGTCCCAGGGAGACATATTGAGACTTGGTTTCAAAATAAAACAAGTATATACATTCAAAGAAACCAAATCTGCATGGCGGATTTAGGAGGTGGAGACAGAAGGCTCATCTATTCAAGGTGAGTTTGTGGCCAGCCTGGATTACAAGAGCCCCTGTCTGAAAACACAAACACAAACAAACAACAAAAATCGCAGCCAGGTTTGGTATCAAGCAACTTTACTCCCAGCACTCGGGAGACAAGAGACAAGTGGACCTCTGTGAGCTCAGGCTACATAGAGAGACCAGCTCAAAAACAAAACAAAACAAAACAAAACAAAACAAAACAAAACAAAACAAACAAAACAAAACCAAAACAAAACAAAACGGGACAGTTCAGTGGTTTAAGAGCATTGGCTGCTGCTCTTCTAGGGAACTGAGGTTTCGGTCTCAGCACCCACATGGTGGCTCACAACTGTCTGTAACTCCAGTTCCAGGGGAGCTGATGCCATTTCCTTGCCTCCATAGGCACGTGTGTAGCTCGTAGATATACATACAGACAAACCACTCATGCATAAGGCAAAAATAAACTAATCTAAAAAAAGAAAGAAAGGAAGGAAGGAAGAAAGAAAAGAAATGGGCATGCAGCAAGTGACGGCCATGGCGGGAGCCCACACCCCAGGTAACCCCCAGGCAGGTTAGGGTTAAGCAACGCTGCCAAAACAGAAGTAGGCAGAGTCCAGGGGATTGCCAAATATGTGGCCTGTGGAATCTGCTATGTCAACAGGTTTGGAAGGGGAAGTGAGCAAGGAAAGGAAGTGGGCTGAGAGCCTGGTGGACTCTAGCGGGTTCTTTCCCCTCACCCAGCCCCGACCTTCTGGACCCTTGGGTCTCACACATCTATCTGTTTCTCAGACGCAGGGCTCCAAAACCTGGGGCCAGAGCCACCTTCCCTTGTAACGGTGACCTCCGGGAGCTCACATCCAGGAAGCTGTTACACTGCAGTGGCGTCTTCTGGGATGAAATATGAGGGGAAGGGAGATGCTTCAGTGAGTAAAGGGTTTGCCATTCAAACGTAAGGCTATGAGTTCCAGCCCCAGGGTATGGACATGCCTGGAACAGAGAGCTAGGCATCGTGGGTTGCATTTGTAGCCTCAGCACGGAGAGGTGGAGACAGATGGATCTCTAGGGCTTGCTGATCAGCAGGCATCAGTGAGCGTCTCCATCTCATTGGGATCCTCTGTCGCAAAATGCAAGGTGGAAGGAAAGGGAGGGGCCTGGAGAGATGGTTCACAGGTATGTGCCGGGCTGTGCTCGGCAGCAAGCACTCTTAACCACAGAGCCTTAGCTCTGGCTTTTGCTTATATATTTTTATTAATCTGAATACATGTAAGATAACATTTTGATATGTGATACAGCATAAAAATACCCTTGAATCTGAGGGGTGGTAGAGCCCCTGCCTAGAATTCCACACTGAGGATGGGGGCGTGGCTCAGTGGTAGAGCCCCTGCCTAGAATCCCCCAGTGAGGGGCTGGGGGCGTGGCTCAGTGGTAGAGCCCCTGCCTAGAATCCCCCAGTGAGGAGCTGGGGGCGTGGCTCAGTGGTAGAGCCCCTGCCTAGAATCCCCCAGTGAGGGGCTGGGGGCGTGGCTCAGTGGTAGAGCCCCTGCCTAGAATCCCCCACTGAGGATGGGGGCGTGGCTCAGCGGTAGAACACCCCGGAAACAAGTTGAGGTCCTAGATTGTAAGGGTACAATTGGAAACACTTGGTTGTTTCATGTTTTTCCTTCACTAAGTCTTCAGATTCTTTATCTCTACCAAGCTCGTCACTGCCCGAATGAGGAATGTACCATATATTTGCCCAGTTAGTGGAACTGTTTGAGGAGATTGTGAAACTTTCAGTAGGTGGAGCCTTGCTGGATGAAGTAGGTCACTGGAGGCGGGCTCTGGGGATTTATATTCTTACCTCACTTGCTATGTCCTTCCTCTGTGCTCTGTGTGGGGGTGAACATATGATCGACGGGCTTCCTGTTTCCATGCCTTCTTGCTTTTATTGACTCACCCTCTAGAACCATAAGCCAAATTAAACTCGTCCATAAATTGCTTTTGCTTTTGGTCGTGGTATTTCATTACAGGCCAGGAGAGTAACCAATGCACAGGGGTATTCTAGGCAGGGGCGCTACCACTGAACCATGCCCACAGCCCTTCACAGGGGTATTCTAGGCAGGGGCTCTACCACTGAGCCACGCCCCCAGCCCTTCTTTCTTTCTTTCTTTCTTTCTTTCTTTCTTTCTTTCTTTCTTTCTTTCTTTCTTTCTTTCTTTCTTTCTTTTTTTCGAGACAGGGTTTCTCTGTGTAGCCCTGGCTGTCCTGGAACTCACTCTGTAGATCAGGCTGGCCACGAACTCAGAAATCTGCCTGCCTCTGCCTCCCAAGTGCTGGGATTAAAGGCGTGCGCCACCACTGCCCGGCTACCCCCAGCCTTTCAATGGTGGGTTCTTGGTAGATGTTCTGCTGAGCCACGCCCCCAATCCTTTGCGGGAGGATTCTAGGTAAATATCCTAACACTGCCCCAGACCTTTTATCATCTTGGCACATCTGTTGACCGGGTAAATCTCCCATGTTGAGGTATAGAGAATGCAGAGGCCTCTCAGGAAGAGAGGGCTGCATCACAGTCTGTAGTGTCTTGACCCAGAAGCAATTTCCTCTAACAACATGACTTTATGCTCTAAATATCAACAGAAGAATTCATGACCACATCCCCTCTAGGCCTTAAGCAAGGCTCGGAGAGAAATATGACCATCAGAAACTGCTGAGATTCCATGTCAGGGCTGAGGTCATGTCTTGCTCGGTGTCCTAAGTCTGCACCATGCCATAGGTGTCTAGTTTAAGATAGTGTGCTCTAGACCACGCTTTAATCCCAACAATAGGGAAGCTGAGGGAAGCAAATTTCTGTGAGTTTGAAGTCACCCAGGACTTCGTGAGACCCTGTCTCAAACCCAACCTAAACCAAATCAAAACCAGCCTCTATGGTCAACTTCTTCTTCTCCTCCTCCTCCTCCTCCTTCTTCTTCTTTTCTTCTTCGCCATTATTATTGTTATTACTACTACTAACACTACTAAATATATAATAATAATTTTCATTTTAAATCTGTGCATATAGGCCTATGAGAGAGTCATAGTTTGTATATGGAGGTCAGAGGCTAGCCTTAATTTTGGACCTTTCCTTTCTACTTTGAGACAGAGTCTCTTGTTGCTTGCAGTGGGAAAGGCCAGGCTAAGGCTAGCTGGCCCTCATGTTTCCAGGGATTCTGTCTCCCTGGCTATCTTCCTGTCTGAATGCTGGCATTACATACATATAGTATTGAATGTTCCAGAAATTCAACCTCAGGTCCTCGTGCTTGAGTGACAAGAACGTTCCCCACCGGTCCATCTGTGGAGACCACACAGGTGAGCTCTCCCTTGCCTCTGCCTCCAGAGTGCTGGGATAACAAGCATGTTCTCCTAGGCTTGCTATGTCTTCCCATTTTACAGGTAAAAAAACAGAGGCTCAGAAAGGAGACAAGACTTGCTTTTTGTGCGTGTATGTGTGTAGGGTTTCTATGTAGTCCTGGTTGTCCTGGAACTCTCTCTGTGAGATTTGGCTGGCCTCAAACTCAGAGATCTGTCTGCCTCTGTCTCCAGAGCACAGTGATCAAAGGTGTACGCCACCACTGTATGACAGGACTTGGATTTTATGTTCCCTGGAAACCTCAGGCCCCGGGCTCAGCTTCTTGATCTTTCTGAGGAGGGGTAATTCTGGGCTATTCTCACAGCATTTGAGGAAGGAAAGATCTTTAAGAGTCTGTGTCTGGCAGGAACTCGAGGCAGAGAACAGCACAGCAGGTCGGGGGTGGGTCGGCAGGCTGCTGTACTTACTGCAGAACCTTAGGGGGCCTTTAGTGTCGACGGTGGGTGGGAAGTGGTTTCAAAGATAGCCCTCTAGACATTGCTGTTCAAAGCCCACACACATCTGGCTTCCAGGAAGCTGATGATAGTGAGACTGGGGGTGGAGACACTGTCCAGCTCTCCACACGTGAGGTTTTTCCAACCTTTCTGTCTGTGGGTTAATTTGTGACTCACGGGAGGAAGAAAAGACAAATATTCCCCTGGGGCTGGAAGGTGGCCACGCCTGTTTTTTTTTCCTGGTTAAGAAGGTCACGCAGGGCCCTCAGAGAATCCCATAGGATCCAGGGAAAGGTTGGATTACTGAGACTGTCCCTGCTACTGTCCCTGGTGGAGAGACTCTGGGCCTCCCTGCAGCTGCTGAGATCTGCCTTGCTTGTCAGTGGCATTTAGCCAGTTTGGGACGGAAGAGAAGGTAAGGAAGGGAGCATAAGGAGGTTGTAAGAAGGGGTGGAGGGGTTCATGATCTTGACTTCTTAGAAGCATTCATTTTGAAATCTTCGGAGTCAGAATTAGAATTCCAGATGGGATATATATTGTGTTTTTCTGAGACAAGAGCTCATGCTGTCCAGGCTGTCCTCAAATTATGTAGTTGAGGTGATCTTGAACACCCGAGGGTCGTGGCTCCACCTCCAGAGTACAGGGATCACTGAACACAGTTTATGTGGGGCTGTGGGGTAGAGCTAGGACTTCGGTGCTGTACCAACTGGGCCACACCCCCAGCCCTGAATCTTAACATTGTGAAAACACATCAGCGTCTCAGATTTTTGGTAACAGCTAAGTCAGCCCAGTAGAAAAAGTTCATCCACACTCTGCGGAGCAAGGCCACAGCTTCTCTTCTAGGAATCCCCACAGGTTGGATCCAGTTCTCTAAAAGTCAGTGTGTCTGTGGGCAAGCCCTCTGACTCCATGCTCCTTCTTCCTAAGACAACGAGGGTCAGTTTAGGCAGAGGTGGGGCACGAGTCAGACCCAGAAAGCGCTGAGTCTTCTTGTAAGCCGAACACATTCCACAAGAGTATACTCTGAGCCCAGTTCCGAGCAGAAGAATTCTTATTTCAAATGCACTCCCTGCTCTACTGACATTTTTGTATTACTTTTTTTTCTTTAAAAGTACTTTGTGATTCTCATATATTTTCTTTTAATTATTTTATTAATTGATTCGTGTGTGTGTGTAGCAGCTCAAGTGTGTGTCTTTCTTTCTAAATGGCATCTGTTTATTGCATGTGTATGTGGGCACATGTGCCAAGACCTCTGCATAGAAGCCAGGACTCTGTATAGAAGCCAGGTGTGTTCTTCTGCCTCATGTATTCCAGGAATGAAACTCAGGCCATGAGGCTTGCAGGATGCGCACTGTTCACCCCCACCCCCCAGCCATCTACCTCAGCCTCTAAGCAGCTCCTTAGCCTTCTTTAGGCCTCAGTTTCTAATTCATTCTTTCTCTCACCAAATATCATATGAACCCCACAGACTGCTGTAGATGCCAGGAACACACTGGGGCCCACATAGGGCGGAGCCCAAGTTCTGGGAAAGTGTCACAATGTATCTTCTGGTATGGGATGAGTGGGACAGACAGTTCTGAAACAGAATACACACACAGGGAGCACAGGGAGCACAGGGAGCACTGGGAGCACTTCAAGCACAGGGAGCACAGGGAGCATCAGCACCCCCATCCCTCTCTATCTCTCCCTCTCTATCCCTTTCTGTGTCTCTCCCCCTTCTTCTCCCTTTCTGTCTCTCTGTGTGTCTTTGTCTTTCCTTGTCTCTGCCTCTCTCCCTCTCTCCTTCTCCCTCTCTGTCTTTCCTCCTCCCTCTCTCCCCACCTCTGTCTCTCTCTGTGTCTCTGTCTCTGTCTCTCTCTCTATCCCTCTCTCTCTCTCTCTCTCTCTCTCTTTCTCTCTCTCTCTCTCTCCAGGATCTCTTGTAGCCCACTGACCTCAAACTCACAGCTTAGGACGGCTTCCACTCCTCCTGCTTCCACCTCTCAAGTGCTGACATTATGGGGACGCATCACCAGTGTTCCATTTATTCGGTTCTGTTAAACACTCTTCCAACTGAGCCCCATCCTTAGCCCAGTTTTTTGGTTTTTGGAGACTGCGTCTCATGGTATAACCTAAAGTGGCCTGGAATTTGCTAGGTAGACCAAACTGGCCTCACACTCATGGCAATCTTCCTGCCCTGGTCTCCGGCATATTGAGGTTTCAGGAATGTATTCCGCGGTCAGTTTCCCACCATTTTTAATTGCATTTTTAGCATATAAAATAACCTGTTTCATTATGACATTTATATTATATATAAATGTTCTTGAGATTTTCTCAAATTCACCACCATCAACCTCTCTTTTCTCATCAGCTTGTATGTTGTTGTTATTATTATTATTATTGAGACAAAATATCTCTATGTAGCTCTAGCTGTCCTGGAACTTGCTATATAGATAAGGCTGGCCTTATACTCACAGAAATCCATCTCCCTTTGCCTCCAGAGCGTTGAGATTAAAGGATACATCACTATGTCCGGCTTATAATTAAAAGTGGCAATTTGGGGCTGAAGAGATGGCTCAGTGGTTAAGAACGTGTACTGTTCTTTCAGAGGTCCTGAGTTAGGTTCCCAGCACCCATCATATGAGGTGGCTTATGAACACCTGTAACTCCTGCTCTAGGGAGTGTGACACCCTCTTCTGGCCCCAACAAGTAACTGCACACATGTGGCCTACACTTAAATAGATATACATGGGTATTCAGAAATAGAAATGAAAAAGTAAGTCATGCGTAGTAGACCAAGTTTTTAATTGCAGCACCCAGGAGGTAGAAGTAGGCAGATCTCTGTGAGTTTGAGGCCAGTCCATCTACATAGTAACTTCCAGGCCAGCCAGTGGTACGTGGTAAGGCCCTGTTTTAAACAAAACAGAACAGCAATTTGGGGGCAAGATGACTCAGTAGGTAATTGCACTTGCTGCTAGGCTTGACAACTGTATTTGATATTCTACACCCCACATGGTAGAAGAAGGTAGAGGGTGAGGTGCCCTCCGATCACCAATGTGAGCTGTACCATGCAAACATCCTGTGTGTGCATGCATGCACAAACAAACGAACATGTAAAAATAATGACAATATTTTATGTATTGTGTATAGAATCAAACAAATATAAATGATTTACTGTATCAGACAGCAATGTCATTGGGTGTGGAAGTGTCCGTTTGTAATCCCAGATGAGAGGGTAGTTAAGAAGGTTTCTTGTACTCTCTGCCCCATCTGTTGAGCCAGTTGGCAAACTTGAGGTTGAGTGAGAGATCCTGTCTGGAAAAAATGTGGAAGGCTGGAGGGGGTGGCCTAGTGGTAGAACTCCTGCCTAGAATCCCCCAGTGAGGGGCTGGGGGTGTGGCTCAGTGGTAGAGCCCCTGCCTAGAATCCACCAGTGAGGGGCTGGGGGTGTGGCTCAGTGGTAGAGCACTGACTTAAGTTGAAATGAGAGAGAAAGAGGAGGAGGGAGAGGAAGAGGGGGAGGAGGAGGGGGAGGGAGAAGGGGGAGGAAGAGAGGGAGGAAGAGTGAGAACATAAATGCTGGGAATCACCCTTGTCTCTGTTTGCAGAGGAAATACCACAGGATGAGAGTGTCTGAGTACAGAAGCTGTCCTGGATTGTTATCAGTAGTAGCTGTTCAGGGTGGGGTCAGAAATGGGAAGAGAGGTAGTCATAACTGCGGCTAATACACACGGACATAGACAGACACAACACAGACACACATGTAGGCACACACATGCATGCACACACACACACACACAGGCACACTCTGTTTGCTGTGGACCGGCACTGTGGCCGCCTCTCTCTCTCCATAGCAGATTCATTAAATACACTGACTGTTCCCAGGGCTTTCCAAGGTGGTGTATACGATTATTCTATTTTACAGACTGACGCACACAGAGATTAGTCAACTTTTTGAAGGCCACACGGCTATTGAAGCTTTGAGTTTTTGTACTTTTGTTCTGCTTCATATTGCTCGGTTTGTTTGTTTGTTTGTTTGTTTTTTGAGACGAGAGTCTTATCTTCTAGCCTGGGTTGGCCTCAAAATCATGGCGCTTCTCCTGCCTCAGCCTCTGAGTGCTGGGATGACAGGCGAGTTAAAAAACAAAACAAAACAAAACAAAACAAAACAAAAAAACAGGTACGGTTTACTTTAAGGATGGAAAAATTCTCAGAAAAATGGCTTGGCCTCGTAGCTGGCTACCTGGAAGAGCTGAGAGTGTCCTAACTTCCTTCTGTCCTTCCTGTTTTGACAGTGTTGGCTAAGGCTTTGGGCAGTGCCAGACAACCCACAAAATAGTCAATGAGAGCTGCGCTCCAGCCACCCCAGACACGGGGTGGGTGTCCCCTCCTGCCTAGGTCCTATCCTTCCCAGCCTACTCTGTGTCGTGTGTGCGTTTCTTAGGCATTAGCTCTGCTATCCCACCACACTGGAGGGATGGGTCCTAGAGGAGGATGTGGGCAGAGCCAATCAGGACTGCAGTCCCAAGGCATGGAGTCAGTTCAGGGCCACTGGGTATATGTGGCTGTCCAGCTTCCCAGTTTCTCATATCCGGGGCTGGTAGTATTTCCGGACTCCCTAGGGACACATTGCAATTCAGTTCTGTCTTCTTAGCTGAGTGATTTTAACTAAGTTACTCACCCTCTCTGTGCCGCTTCCACTGTAGAATCAGTTTAACAAGACTGTATTTAGATACAGTGTTGAAAGGTATTTGGGGCCGTGCCTTACATGTTTACAAAGTGCTCAAAATGGTGCCTTCTAATATCCTAAAACTATTATTATTGTTTTACTAGGTCACTTTGTGTCTTAGTTAGGGTTTCTATTGCTGTGAAGGGACACCATGCCCATGGCAAATCTTGTAGAGGAAAACATTTAACTGGGGCTGTCTTGTAATTTCAGAGGTTCAGTCCATTATCATCATGGCGGGAAACATGGCAGCCTGCGGACAGACATGGTGCCGGAGAAGATGCTGAAAGTTCTACATCTTAATTCTTAGGCAGAAGAAGGAGAGTGTTTTCTACACTAGGGGTAGCTTGAGCACAGGAAACTTCACAACCTGCTTCCACAGTGACACATTTCCTCCAATAAGGCCACGCCCACTCCAACAGAGTAACACCTCCTAATAGTGCCACTCCCCATGGGTCAAGCATTCAAACACATGAGTTTATGGGGCCTTAGCCATTCAAACCACCACACTCTGTTGCTCTTTTTCTTTTCTTCCTTCCTTCCTTCCTCCCTCCCTCCCTCCCTCCC